GAAGTTACAAAAATGCTTATTTGTGGCCCCTTTTTGGCCCCTAATTCCTTAACTGTTGGTACCATAACCCCCAAAATCAATCCCAACCTTCCTTTTGTGGTATTGAACCTTATGGTAAAATTTCATAGAGATCCATTCACTTAAGGATGTTCGCTACCCTGTTTCAAAATAACAAGCTTTTTAAAAGACTGTTATAAATTGATAGTATATAAATAAAGAAACTAAAAAATTCGTAAGGGTTCCGCGGAACCCAGTGTCTCGCCTACTTTTGTTGTTAATCGCAGGCTCAACAAAAATGAGGAAAAAAATTAATTATAATATTCCTCTCTATACTATCTTTTGATTGTAAGTAGCTTCTGTCCAAGTTTGGTAAAAATCCAGGATAGTTTATGAATCTAATAAATGTTTTAAAAACTTAAAGTGCAGACTGTATGTAATGTTAACTGAAGAAAAACTAAGTCCATTTATAAGTAAAATACGGAAAAAATGAATTTTTTTTTTTTACTTTTTTACAAAATTTACTTCTGGATACTATCTTTTGATCATAAACAAGCTTCTTTCCAAGTTTGGTAGAAATCCAGGATAGTTTAAGAAAGTTATTAAAATTTCAAAAACTTTAACCACAGAGTGAATGTAATGTTTCATGGCAGAAAAACTAAGTCCATTTATAAGTAAAATAAGGAAAAAATGGAATTTTTTTTTTACAAAATTTACTTTTGAATATTATCTTATGATCATAAACAAGCTTCTGTCCAAGTTTGGTAGAAATCAAGGATAGTTTAAGAAAGTTATTAAAATTTGAAAAACTTTAACCACAGAGTGAATATTTGTGGACGCCGCCGACGACGACGACGCCGACGGAATGTAGGATCGCTATGTCTCGCTTTTTCGACAAAAGTCGAAGGCTCGACAAAAAGCAGAAAAAAATGAAGGGTCCGTGTGCTTGTTTTTGAGATATAAGCCATTGAAAATTTGGCGGGAAATAATTCTCTCTAGATTTTTCATACATTTAACATTGGCACCTTTTTTCTTTCAAAAACAATGAAAAAATAACAAGGATTTTATAAGATTTTCAAAGATGACATTTTAAACTATACGTTATCAAATTATGGAAAGAAAAGTAGGGGTTAGTGGGCAAAATTTTTAATGGCACTTCATGGATAAAACCAGAGGATTCCGAATATCTGGCAAAAATTCAAAAACAAGAGGAGCGAACATCCTTAAACTAAAGTTAGAGTGCAAAAACCAATGTGTCTTCAGACAACGACGACGACGACGCCAACGTCATACCAATATACGAACGCAAAAATTTTTTGCGGTCGTATAAAAAATTATGCCCTATCAAATTTTTTCCTGTATCTTAAGACTTGATAAAAAATGTATTTTCCTTGGAATGTATGGTTATTTCATATCACTATAATTCTTTCCTATAAATATTCCTTCAATTCTACAAAATGTTTAAAAAAAATATATGATTTACAGCAGCAATATATAGATACATTTGTATTTCTCCTACTATGCAAATGTATAAACATCATATATTATTTACAACATATTTAAACACAGGGAAAACAAATCAAATTATAGCCTCAAATAGGTAATGTGTGTCTTAAAAAATTCAAACAGTAATTACAGCATTGACAAATGAACAATTTTGAATAAATATCTTAAATTCAATAAACATTACATTTTAAATATTTGCCATAAAAAAAGTCATCGAACCTTCAAAATTTCAATTATAATTAAAAAATTTGTTTTATTAAGCTCAGCTACCTTCTAGAATAAAAGATAGTTTATACAAAGGTTAACACTGACACAAACCTGTCTCTGCTATGCTACATTTCTATATCATAAGACAAAAAACATACAGTGAATCACTGATATGTCAAAAAGAAAAAAATCAATACCATTACATAACATTGTGAATCACTGATATGTCAAAAAGAAAACAAAAAAAACAATACCATTGCATAACATTGTGAATCACTGATATACTGATATGTAATAGAACAAAAAAATCAATACCATTGCATAACATTGTGAATCACTGATATGTCAAAGACCAAAAAAATCAATACCATTGCATAACATTGTGAATCACTGATATGTCAAAAACCAAAAAAATCAATACCATTGCATAACATTGTGAATCACTGATATGTCAAAGACCAAAAAAATCAATACCATTGCATAACATTGTGAATCACTGATATGTCAAAAACCAAAAAATCAATACCATTGCATAACATTGTGAATCACTGATATGTCAAAAACCAAAAAAATCAATACCATTGCATAACATTGTGAATCACTGATATGTCAAAAACCAAAAAAATCAATACCATTGCATAACAGTGTGAATCACTGATATGTCAAAAAAAAAAATACTATTGCATACATGTTCTTCCACTGGTTAAATCAATGACCTTAAAGGTTGAGTACTCACAAATTCTAGTCTTAAGGGTTTGTTGACATGCTTGTTTAAAGACACTTTTCAAGATATTTTGTCATCTCCGTTTAACTTTTTTCACATCTTTGTAGAACTCTGGTACGCAGCTTTTTTACAGCTAGGGTAATTGTATAACACTGAATACTGTACAGTATATATACACGTAGGAAAACATGAGTTTGATTGCTGTTTGGAACTGAGCAAATGTATTTGAGTTTAGTTTATCTTATAAAATGACTGTCTAAACACAATTATTATGTAATAAATGTCGAGAAGAAAACAGGAATCAGCAGAGCAAAGAAATAAAACAAATAATACAATGACATTATAAAACAAAGAGACCTATCACATATGATATTCAAACAGTATTCCAATAACACAACACAACCAAACAAAGGCTTTCCACCATAAAACTTGACTCAGTACTAAGAGTAAGAAATTTGTGCTGGAAAAACCAATTGCAAAGCAAGGGATTTGATTTGTTGATTTCCGAGCCCGAGTATAAAAATCATACCGCAAGGCCAGAAATCTAAATATAAGCATTAGTCTCATATATACATATAAGTATATACATGTACAGTGTATATGAAGAAATACCTACAGAGAGTAGAAACATGAACCAACATTCTGTAGCAATAAACATAAAACAGTAATTCATAATTTCTATACACAGGAGGGCTCTTCCAATATAAAGGTAAACATAGACGCTGGCATTGATCACTTTTGGGTATGACAAATATATCAATGGGGTCCAATTTCACAGATGTAAGATAAAATGGATAGAAATATATATGTCAATGGGTTATAAGTGTTTATCTTCTGCCATTTTTGTTCTGCTAAGAATTCTATAAAACCTGTATTCTGATCTTTTTATCAAATAATAAGAATGATCCCATGTCGTTAGAAAAGTATTACCAGGGTCCAGGTTTTCCCAGGCTGGGCAATACTCCTAGAAACGGTAATACTAGGCAATACTGGGCAATATGATTTTTCAAGCTTAGTTTTACACAAAATAGTAAAGACTTGTTGTAGTTTAATAGTATTATAGCTTAATATATACATTTTATACAGATAACCATTGAGAGATGTGTTATGATTGCCAATGAGATGACTATCCACCAAAGTAAAAATAAGGAGATGTGGTATGATTGCCAATGAGACGACTATCCACCAAAGTAAAAATAAGGAGATGTGTTATGATTGCCAATGAGACAACTATCCACCAAAGTAAAAATAAGGAGATGTGTTATGATTGCCAATGAGACGACTATCCACCAAAGTAAGAATAAGGATATGCGGTATGATTGCCAATGAGACGACTATCCACCAAAGTAAAAATAAGGAAATGTGTTATGATTGCCAATGAGACGACTATCCACCAAAGTAAAAATAAGGAGATGTGTTATGATTGCCAATGAGACAACTATCCACCAAAGTAAAAATAAGGAGATGTGGAATGATTGCCAATGAGTATACTATCCACCAAAGTAAGAATAAGGAGATGAGGTTATGATTGCCAATGAGACAACTATCCAACAAAGTAAGAATAAGGAGATGTGTTATAATTGCCAATGAGACAACTATCCACCAAAGTAAAAATAAGGAGATGTGTTATGATTGCCAATGAGACAACTATCCACCAAAGTAAAAATAAGGAGATGCGGTATGATTGCCAATGAGACGACTATCAACCAAAGTAAAAATAAGGAGATGTGGTATGATGGCCAATGAGACAACTTTCCACCAAAGTAAAAATAAGGAGATGAGGTTATGATTGCCAATGAGACAACTATCCACCAAAGTAAAAGTAAGGAGATGTGGTATGATTGCCAATGAGACGACTATCCACCAAAGTAAAAGTAAGGAGATGTGGTATGATTACCAATGAGACGACTATCCACCAAAGTAAAAATAAGGAGATGTGGTATAATGGCCAATGAGACAACTTTCCACCAAAGTAAAAATAAGGAGATGTGGTATGATTGCCAATGAGACGACTATCTACCAAAGTAAAAATAAGGTGATGTGGTATGATGGCCAATGAGACAACTTTCCACCAAAGTAAAAATAAGGAGATGTGTTATGATTGCCAATGAGACGACTATCCAACAAAGTAAAAATAAGGAGATGTGGTATGATTGCCAATGAGACGACTATCCACCAAAGTAATAATAAGGAGATGTGGTATGATTGCCAATGAGACAATTTTCCACCAAAGTAAGAATAAGGAGATGTGTTATGCTTGCCAATGAGACAACTATCCACCAAAGTAAGAATAAGGAGATGTGGTATGATTGCATAATGAGACAAGTATCCACCAAAGTAAAAATAAGGAGATGTGTTATGATTGCCAATGAGACAACTATTTACCAAAGGTCAAATGAATTGGATGTAAGCAATTTAGTCACACATCATATATAAAATGATTTATATGACAATTATTTTGATTTGAATTAAATTGAATATATAATAGGGGTGTTTTTTTATCCTGACATTTGTACCCAAATTTGTATGTTGAGACCCCCCCCCCCCCTCTTATGGTATGTCATAATCAATACAATTTAGAACCTTCAGTATAAATTGCATTAAAAATTATAATGACTAAAACTGATCTAACTTGGCAATTAGAAAGTATTGTGACTTAAGAAACAATGAAGTAATTGACAACTACAAAGTTATGTTAGAATTACAATATATACTTAGTGTGGTACAATTTCATTCATTGGCATCTTTTACTGCATCTACATCAAATAGATATCTTCTGTTCCTGGTGAAAACATCAATAATATTCATGTAATGTAAAGCTTAGGGCTGCATGTGCTTTGTAAAATTAGAGAAAGAGTAATGAAATGAGTAGAAGTAGACATCAAACCTATTAAACAAACACCAGATCATACCAGTGCACAAGAGTTTAACAAACCACTGACCACAGAACAAGAGTTAAGAAGAATGTTTGTCCTCTTGCTTTGTGTGATTTGTTACCATCATTACTATAGATGTATGTCCATTATCTGTTGCAATCTTTAAAGGGGATTTCCCATCAAGTCTACATATCTGTGTATCTGCACCTTTATCTAACAATCAGTCAGGGGTACTACTTGTACAAGTAATTTTTATTTACTTGAAGAAGTAATTATAATATACTTATATAAGTAAATTTGTAGGATACTTATACAAGTGTATTTTATTTACTTGTATAAGTAAATTATTTTTTGCCCTAGTTATGTCCCTTAGACATTCAGATTTTTTTACTTATACAAGTAAAAAAGTCATCCTATCTTCTTTTCTTGAATTCTTAGAACTTCTTTGCTCTAACAGAACTTTGAATTGTCTGTCCTTTGCAGATGTCTTTACTATTCATTTAAGTGTAATTTCATGGACAATGAAAATCTCATTTGTCTGTTCTCTTTAGAACACTGCTCATTTACAAGCCCCCAAGGAGCAATTTTTGAAGGCCTTGCGCAAATACTTAAGATCTTTGCTCAATCAGATTCTTAGTTGAATTAATGAGATGAAACATTGAACTCTTATCAAAAATTATGAGCTAACCTGAGAAAAATTGTTAAAGGCATAATCTACATTTCAAAACTTGAGAATTTTTGTGGGATTGTAAAAAAAATTTACTTATACAAGTAAATTTTTTTGAAAATTAAGGGGAGATTATTCAAACAATATAATTAACTTGTATAAGTATATTTTATTTACTTCTTCAAGTAAATAAAGATTACTTGTACAAGTAGTACCCCTGACTGACAATAAACGTACAATATCCTCATGTCCTACTTCACATGCATAAAATAATGGTGTTGTTCCATCTTCTTTTGTCATGTTGATGTTAGCATTGTGGTCAAGAAGACAATTGACTACATCTGTCCTACCCTTATAACTGGCTATGTGTAAAGGAGAAGAACCAGCTACTACATCAAAGGCATAATCTACTGACTTCTTACTGACATAATCTGTTACATGTGAAGATGTATTCTTTACCAGGCTATCAAATAATTCTTTTTTTTCTTTGTCCAATGTTTTACTTGGATGGTTATTTAATTTATCTATTATAGACTGTTTACTATGGATACAGATATTACAGTCAGCATTGTTCTCTAACAGTAACTGTGTTATCACTAGGTTTCCATTAAATGCACTGAAATATAAAGCATTACCACCATCATAGGTCTGGGCATTAATGTTTGGTTTATGTTTAATTAATAGCTGCACTATATTGGTGTGGTTATTGATACACGAGGAGATCAATGGTGTAAAGCCATTGTTGTTACATAGATCAACATTAGGATTCTTCTCTAATAGTAACTTTACTATTTCAGTATGTCCTTCATCACTTGCTGTATTCAGAGGACTCCAGCCATCATTGTTACATAGATCAACATTAGGATTCTTCTCTAATAGTAACTTTACTATATCAGTATGTCCTTCATCACTTGCCTTTTGCAGAGGACTCCAGCCATCATTGTTACATAGATCAACATTAGGATTCTTCTCTAATAGTAACTTTACTATATCAGTATGTCCTTCCTGACTTGCTGTATTCAGAGGACTCCAGCCATTATTGTTACAAAGATCAACATTAGGATTCTTCTCTAATAGTAACTTTACTATTTCAGTATGTCCTTTCAGACTTGCTGTATTCAGAGGACTCCAGCCATCCTTGTTACATAGATCAACATTAGGATTCTTCTCTAATAGTAACTTTACTATATCAGTATGTCCTTCATCACTTGCTGTATACAGAGGACTCCAGCCATCATTGTTACATAGATCAACATTAGGATTCTTCTCTAATAGTAACTTTACTATGTCAGTATGTCCTTCCTGACTTGCTGTATTCAGAGGACTCCAGCCATTATTGTTACAAAGATCAACATTAGGATTCTTCTCTAATAGTAACTTTACTATTTCAGTATGTCCTTTCAGACTTGCTGTATTCAGAGGACTCCAGCCATCATTGTCACATAGATCAACATTAGGGTTCTTCTCTAATAGTAACTTTACTATTTCAGTATGTCCTTGTTTACTTGCTATATTCAGAGGACTCCAGTCATTATTGTTACAAAGATCAACATTAGGATTCTTCTCTAATAGTAACTTTACTATTTCAGTATGTCCTTTCAGACTTGCTGTATTCAGAGGACTCCAGCCATCATTGTTACATAGATCAACATTAGGATTCTTCTCTAATAGTAACTTTACTATTTCAGTATGTCCTTTCAGACTTGCTGTATTCAGAGGACTCCAGCCATCATTGTTACATAGATCAACATTAGGATTCTTCTCTAATAGTAACTTTACTATATCAGTATGTCCTTCATTACTTGCTGTATTCAGAGGACTCCAGCCATTATTGTTACATAGATCAACATTAGGATTCTTCTCTAATAGTAACTTTACTATTTCAGTATGTCCTTTCAGACTTGCTGTATTCAGAGGACTCAAGCCATCATTGTTACATAGATCAACATTAGGATTCTTCTCTAATAGTAACTTTACTATTTCAGTATGTCCTTCATCACTTGCTGTATTCAGAGGACTCCAGCCATTATTGTTACATAGATCAACATTAGGATTCTCCTCTAATAGTAACTTTACTATATCAGTATGTCCTTCATTACTTGCTGTATTCAGAGGACTCCAGCCATTGTTGTTACATAGATCAACATTAGGATTCTTCTCTAATAGTAACTTTACTATATCAGTATGTCCTTCATTACTTGCTGTATTCAGAGGACTCCAGCCATTTTTGTTACATAAATCAACATTAGGATTATTCTCTAATAGTAACTTTACTATTTCAGCATGTTCAGTATGTCCTTCCTGACTTGCTGTATTCAGAGGACTCCAGCCATCATTGTTACATAGATCAACATTAGGATTCTTCTCTAATAGTAACTTTACTATTTCAGTATGTCCTTTCAGACTTGCCATGATCAGTCCAGTAGTCCCATTGTCTTTACACTGATCCACATCCACATCATTATGTAGCATCCACTGTACCATATCATGATAACCTTCATAACAAGTATCTATTAGTGGAGTATTACCTGATCCAAACTCCTCCTTTGGTCTCACTGTATCCCTGGTGTGGGCTAATGTTACTTGTTGTGATTTGTCTAGTTGTAATAAGTACTGTAATAACTGTTGTCTGAATGATGATACCTTCATATTAATGTTATCAAACACATCTGACACCTTTCCTGCTGACCACTCCTTAATAAACCTTTCTAAATATGATTTTAAATCATCATCTTTTATTTCAATAATGAAGTCTATGTTACTGTCCATGTTATCTGGTGATTTCCTCCACATAAAGCGTTCATGCAGTAAACCACTATCACCATGATCTATTAAACATTCAATCATTTTCTGACCAAAGTAATGAGCAAGGAAGTCAAACAGTTTATCATGTACAGTTCTATAAATACCATTCTGTTTACATATAAATGTACCATCTAGGGTGTCAAGTGCTTTCTTTAGTTTTGCCTTTGGTATACCAATGAATTCGCAAGCCTCACATGTGTCATTTATGATCTGTCGTTGTTCATCAGTCACTTTACCCTGAAACCATTTTTCTTCTAGCTGATTATTAAAGAGAACACATAAAGCAAGACTACATATTTTATAGTTCCCTTCATCACCAGCCTCACTTAACTTGTCTAGCTCATCTTTATAGACAACAAATGGATTTCTGAAAAATTCTTTCATATCTGAATTCTTTGTTTCAACATATAAGGAGCATAAAAGTGGAAAAAATTCACTATTTTGCGATAAATCATCAATATCTTTTAAATTTGTACTAATATATGTTTTTGCTATAGTTGTTTTCTCATCAGATGTAAGACATAATTCATCTGATATCAAGTTACATTCACAAGATTTAAAAGGTGATAATATCTTAAACTTATCATCCTTATAAACTTGTAACCTACAAGATACAATAATCTTACAACATTTGTCTGCAATAATCTTGTTAATCACAGGTAACAGTTGTTTCCAGTTATCAATCTGTTGTTGGTTAGCAGTGTAATTTCCACAAATATCATCTACAATGAAGACTGTCTGTTTACCAGGCTGATAATAATCTCTTATATCTGTTGGGGCATACACCAATACTATTTTGTATCCTTTCTTCTGTAAAACAAGTGCTGTATGTCTACAGATAAAAGATTTTCCAACTCCTGCTGGGGCAGTTAAAGTCACACAATTGTTGTCCTGTACACATTCCATGACATAATTACTGGCTCTGGTAGAGACAAACTTCTTATCTTTCTTTTCCCAGTCTTCTAATTGTTCTTTTATCTGCTCTGAAAAATATATTAGTGTATAATTAATAAAAAAAATATTTCAATTCAACAATCTATTATTATTACATTAAAGTTGCAAACCGAGATAAATGGAGATTTCCCATCTTTGAAACACCTACACCACTGAAAACTAAAGACTGAGCAAAAAAATATATTTTGAAACACTGATATTATCTTAAACATTATGAGAATCACTGAAAGATAAAAATCAGCTCCGAGTTAAGTGACTTAGAAAGTGACCAGATATCAGGGTAAAGTCACACATGCTTACATTATTATCCTATGTCAAATAATAACACAGATCTCAACCTGAAAGTCTAGATATAAAAAGAAATAATTGTCCCACACCTGGATAAAAAACATAGAAGCTCTAATGAGCCTGTATCACCCATCATATCACCTATCCATACCAGTTTTAAGACAATAAGACACACTTAAATAAAATGCTCCGCAGGGCGCAGCTTGATACGACCGCAGAGGTCGAACCCTGAACAGTTGGGGCAAGTATGGACACAACATTCAAGCTTGATACAGCTTTGCATTTGGATTGTGATTAAATATTTGACACAGCATAGGTTTCTGACACAGAATGAATGTGGTCTAAGAACTTAAAAATCTTAAATTGGACATTCACCTATTATGGTCCAATATCCAAAATCTAAATACATGGTTAGATTCAGCATATCAAAGAACCCCAAGAATTCAATTTTTGGTGAAATCAAACAAAGTTTAATTTTGGACCCTTTTGACCTCAATGTGGACAAAGTTGATAACGGGGCCCAAAAATCAAAAATCTAAATACATGGTTAGATTCAGCATATCAAAGAACCCCATATATTCAATTTTTGTTGAAATCAAACAAAGTTTAATTTTGGACCCCGATTTGGACCAACTTGAAAACTGGGCCCATAATCAAAAATCTAAATACATGTTTAGATTCAGCATATCAAAGAACCCTAAGAATTCAATTTTTGTTAAAATCAAACTAAGTTTAATTTTGGACCCTTTGGACCTTAATGTAGACCAATTTGAAAACGGAACCAAAAATTAAAAATCTAAATACACAGTTAGATTCGGCATATCAAAGAACCCCAATAATTCAATTTTTGATGAAATCAAACAAAGTTTAATTTTGGACCCTTTGAACCTCAATGTGGACCAATTTAAAAACGGGGCCCAAAATCCAAAAACTAAATACACGGTTAGATTCAGCATATTAAAGAAACCCAAGAATTCAAGAATAAAACCCCATTGAAATTGGTCAAGAAATAAGCAATTTATACGAAGTATCTTCTTTTGCACAATACTGTGCAATTAAATATTTCTTGCTATTGCGCAATACTGTACAATTGACAATTTCTTGCTATTGCGCAATATTGTGCTATTGGATATTTCTTGCTATTGCGCAATACTGTGCAATTGAAGATTTCTTGCTATTGTGCAATACTGTGCAATTGAAGATTTCTTGCTATTGTGCAATACTGTGCAATTGAAAATTTCTTATTATTGCACAATACTTATTATATAATAATTTATACATCCTGTTTGGTGTGTATCTCCTACCATATCATTATTATTTGCTTTTAAATATAAATCAGAAATAACCAACTTAAAATGGAAAATTTTAAAAGAAAAAAAAAAGGAAAAAAGAAAAAAAAGGAAACCCCCCCCCAAATTTTTTGAACCCTCTTATGATTCATCACCCCCAAACTCAATCCCAGCCTTCCCTTTGTGGTATGGTACCTTGCAGTACAATTTCAGAGAGATCCATACACTTGAACACAAGTTATTGTCTGGAAACTAGAAAAATGTGTTTTTTGGCCCCTTTTTGGCCCCAAATTCCTAAACGTTTAGGGCAATTACCCCCAAACTCAAACCCAGCTTTCCCTTTGTGATATGGAACCTTGTAGTACAATTTCAGAAAGATCCATACACTTACACACAAGTTATTGTCCTGAAACTAGAAAAATGCTTGTTTTTTGCCCCTTTTTTGGCCCCTAATTCCTTTACTGTTGGTACCATAACCCCCAAAATCAATCCCAACCTTCCTTTTGTGGTATTGAACCTTGTGGTAAAATTTCATAGAGATCCATTCACTTAAACTAAAGTTAGAGTGCGAAAACCAATGTGTCTTCGGACGATGCCAAACGACGACGACGACGCCAACGTCATACCAATATACGACCACAAAAATTTTTTTGCGGTCGTATAAAAAATTAGGGGAATGACGATTTCATCCATATTGACATATATGTTGAATTTGTGTTGCTGATTATTTTATAATTAAAAATTTAAGTTTATCCATTATAGATAAAATGATATAGGACAAAAGCACAAAACATTGGGGGTCAACTGACAAGTTCAGTCAATTCAACTTATTGATGGATCTTATTTTACTCATTGTTTTTGCTATTTACAGATCTACTATGAAAGGTTTTCGGGAAAAATAAAATAAATTAATAAATATAAATTCAAGAGTAATAACCCCTACAAGGAGTCAACTGATAATTTAAATTTAGCCATCCAGAAACCAGAATGTTGCCAGAATTTTATTCAGTGCTATGATCTTGACCTTTGACCTACTGTGGAATCACTTATTTTTGTGGGAATCAATTTTCGTGGATTGAGGAAAAGTTGCATTTTCCTTGATATTTGATTTCGTGGTTTTGACAAAGTCTGCATACAAGCTTATAGCAATTTTGGATTCGTTGAACATTTAAATTCGTGGTTCACCTATACCCAGGAAATCAACGAAAATTGGTATCAAACGAATAATAATGAATCCACAGTATTGAAAAAAAACCAATAGGGATCTTCTTCACCATGAGGGTGAGGAAGACCTTAGGACACATCAATACCCACAAAATATGGTTAAAGCTTCTGCAGATGCCATCACGAGTTGGTTGATCATTACAGAATATTTGTTTCACAGAAGACCCCAGATGTGACCACAATCCTGTCCTCTTTTCCCGAATAAGACTTATCAATAGGTTTGTACCTACTGCGTGTATAAATTTTCGTGGATTGAGAAAAATGCATTTTCGTGGATATTTGATTTCTTGGTTTTGTCAATGGCTACACATGAAATCCACAAAAATTGGTATCCAAAGATATAATAATGAATCCACAGTACATGAGAAACATGAAGGGTGCCACATGTGGAGCAGGATTCATCAACTCTTCCAAAGCACATGAAATCACCACTGGTTTTTTGTGGGGTTTGTTTTGTTCAGTTTTTAGTTTTTTATGCTAAGTTTTGTGTACTGGTGTTCGTCTTCTCATTGTTTTTGTTTTTTGCCATGGCATTGTCAGATTATTTTTCGACTTATGGTTTTGAGATATCTCTTTAGTATCTTTAAATTTGTCTCTCTTCTACCATCTACAATATAAAAAAGTGTATTATAACGAAAAAATTGTTTAAACCATTTCCTGCAAAGAATGTGCAAAGGTTGCAGGGGAGCTGTCATTTTTATTGTCAAGTTAGAAGTTGTCATCAATACATGATCTAATAATATACCTCTTATATTCCTTGGGATAACTTCCTCCTGTTCAGTTTCTTTCTCGTCTTGTTCTGGAATAAGAACATATAGACTATTTGAAAATATATATCTTGAAATTCTCATAAAGTAGTCAAACATATGATATATATATATATCAATTATATATGACCTCAGGAATCTGATACTGGTGACATGGTTGAATCATGGTATCCCATATTAATTCAAAATAAATCAACTGTCAAAAACTAATTACATTTTTAACCAGGCATTTGATACTGATTACATTTAACATCAGACAACTGCAACTTATTACATTAAACATCAAATAACCAGAACTGATTACTTTTAACATCAGACAACTAAAATTGGTAACATTTGACATCAAACAACTAAAACTGGCGACATTTAACATCAGACAACTAAAATTGGTAACATTTGACATCAAACAACTGAAACTGATGACATTTAACATCAGACAACTAAAACTGGTTACATTTGACATCAGACAACTAAAACTGATTACATTTGACATCAAAACAACTGAAACTGATGACATTTAACATCAGACAACTGAAACTGATAGCATCTGACATCAAACAACTAAAAATAATTACATTTAACGTCAAACAACTGACACAGACTAAATTTAACATCAGACAAGTAAAACTGATTACATTTATCTCCAGACAACTGAAACTGATTACATTTGACATCAAACAACTGAAAGTGATTACATTTAACATCAGACAATTAAAACTGTTACATTTAACATCAAACAACTGACACAGACTAAATTTAACATCAGACAAGTAAAACTGGTTACATTTGACTTTAGACAATCAAAACTGGTTATATTTAACATCAAACAACTAAAACTGATTACATTTAACATTAGACAACTGAAAATGATTACATCTGACATCAAACAACTGAAACTGATTACATCTAATATCAAACAACTGAAACTGATTACATTTAACATCAAACAACTAAAGCTGATTACATATGACATCAGACAACTTAAACAAATTACATTTTACATCAGTCAACTAAAACTGATTACTTTTGACATCAGCTACATAAAACTGATTACATTTGACATCAGCCAACTAAAACTGATAACATTTATCATCAGACAACTAAAACGGATAACATTTGACCTCATCTAACTTAAACTGAATACATTTGATATCAGACAACTAAAACTAACTTCAACTGATTACATTTGACATCAGATGACTAAAACAGATTACATCTGATATCAGATAACTATAACAGATCACATTTGACATCAGACAACTAAAACGGATAACATTTGACATCAGACAACTAAAACGGATAACATTGGACATCAGACAACTAAAACGGATAACATTTGACATCAGACAACTAAAACGGATAACATTTGACATCAGACAACTAAAACTGATAACATTTGACATCAGACAACTGAAACTGATTACATTTGACATCAGACAACTAAAACTGATTACATTTGATCACATTTGACGTCAGACAAGTTAAACTCATTACATTAATTATCAGACAACTGAAATGGATTAAATTTGACATCAGACAACTGAAACTGATTACATTTGACATCAGCCAACTAAAATGGATTACATTTGACATCCAACAACTAAAACTGATCACATTTGACATCAGACAACTAAAATGCAATACATTTGACATCAGACAACTTAAACAGATTACATTTGACATCAGCTAACTTAAACAGATTACATTTGACATCAGACAACTAAAACTGATTACATTTTACATCAGACAACTGAAACAGATTACATTTGATATCAGATAACTAAAATTGATCACATTTAACATAAAACGACTGAAACAGATTACACTTGACATCAGCTAACTTAAACAGATTACATTTGACATCTGACAACTAAAATTGATCACATTTAACATCAGACAATTGAAACTGATTACATTTGACATCAGACAACTAATGAGCAAAACCCATACCACATAGTCAGCTATAAAAGGCCCCTTAATGATAAATGTAAAACAATTCAAATGAAAAAACCGATATATGTACAAAACAATGAAAGAAAAACAAATATGATATACAGCAACAAACTACAACTACTAAATTACAGGCTTGCTGCTTGGGACAGGCACATAAAGAATGTGGCAGTGTAAAACATGTTTTTACATTGTAAGTGCCCACCCCTCCCCTGAGACAGTGGTGTAACATCTCAACATATGAATAACATTTTACATAAGATATCTGAAACTCATTACAGTTTACATCAGGCAACTAAAACTAATTACATTTAACAGCAGACAACTGAAATTGATTGCATTTTACCACAAACAAATAATAAAACTGATCACATTTAACATCAGACAACTGAAATTTGTGTCCATTGTTGTAACAAATTAGAGCAATTGCAGCTTGAAGCAGCCAGTATTGTAACAGGTCTTCCTCTTTTCACTGGTAGTAAATTATTTATGATGAGATTGGTTGGGAAACTCTAGCTGAACGAAGAGAAAGGATGAGGTTATAATTATTTTAATATATTCAAGATAATAATGCAGCGGCCTATCTTTGCAATTTAATTCCACCTACAATCCAAAGTACCCCTTACATAATGGGAATGATATAATATAACCTTTTTGTAGACATTTCATTGACCCAAGAATACTGCATACCTTCAACAATACGACTGTGGAATAACCTTAATGTGGTGATCCGCAACATTGACTCAAAAGGTAAATTATAAAACAGAATTAAAGAACCTTTGTGAGCACGCTCACATACCCCACGCCCCCACATTGTTAGCTGGTAAACAAAATCTCACCAGATTTCCAAGAATCATAACTCCTCCAAAAGTCAACTGATAATAATTTCTTGTGGATATTATGTCCTCATTATCTACAAAGTTTCAGGAAATTCTGTTGTGTGGTTTCAGAGGAGTTGTGATGACAAACTGTTGCAGTAGTATATTGAAGCCAGATTTTAAGTTCAAAGGGCACAACACATAGAAGAGTCAACTGATAATAAGGCCTACCTTAAAAATATATTTGTTTGCAGTTTTCCGACTGTACCTTCAGACTGAAGGGTCAGTAGATAGGAAAAATCTTTTATTTAATCAGCCAAAATAAAATTTAAACAAGTAGTTACACAAACCAAGTTTCTCATAAAGAAAAAACATGTTAAAACAACAAACACTGAAAATCAATACGAAATGAACAGGCATTTTCAGATTAAAAACTTTTTTTTATAAAAACTGAAACTATAACATAGTGTAATTATCCAATATATGACATAAAAATTATGGTATTATTATATACTGGAACACTATAAAACAAGGAATGACTAAAATAATGTTTTAAAGAAATATATTCACTGACTTATATGCTTCTTGACTAGAATGCTTTCATGAGTAGAGTACTTTCATCCGAAAAATGTAGATATTGAAGCTTTATAAACACCTGCCCAGGCTGCTTATCTAAGAGTGTTTTCAATAAAAAAAAATAGTCATTGAATCTTCCTCAATTGAACAAAAAAGGCAACTTAAAAAATATATTAGACATCTGACTGTTTTCCAATTTCTAACAATATTTAATTATACATGTAATTTGATTATATTTTGAAAGATATGTTCATGCCAGGCTTCATTGAAAACCAAAAATTTTTTTAGACTTCGTAGTTAAATCCATAGCAACCCTTTAAAAGTAAATGGCCTGCACTGAAATGTTTTAACTGCATAAAAAATTTGGCAGCATAGCTCTTTAGGGAATGTTTCAATTCTATATTCACACAGGCCACTCAGTTTGGGTAAATTTAATATTGTAAGAGAGAATGATTTCATTGAGTGGGCCAGCCACCCTTATCTTAAAGGAGCATATTCATTGCGAGAGAAGATAGATTTCATATAGAGAGAGAGTATATTTATTTTTCAAGCTGACCAATCATTTTACCTACATATTTGTGTAGTTTGGGTGGCTTCTAATTGATTTGGCATTGTCTTTCCATTAATATTTCTGTTCTGTACAAGTGTTTTTATAGGTATCCATGAAGTCATGGAGGAGTGGTTTCATCTTTGTTGTCTTCACAACCATTTATAGAAAATATGGCATACTTCAGGCTGCTATCGAATTGTTTTACCACTGATATTAGTTCCCTAAAGTCAGGATCTAAATATTCTGTACCCAATTTGTTTGAGACAGAAACGGTTATGTCGGTTTTATAAATTTCCGCTGCATCATCGTCCATGATATCTAGCCGACATCGAAGACATTACTCCATGTGCAACTCTGCCTGAATCTGTATAAACAGTTTACCATTAAACCTTTTTGTTTGTAATTTGTCTTAATATTGACAGAAAACAACAGCGTAAAGTACTCCTCCATGACTTCATTGATACCTGTACCTAAACGATCTCCATGTGCTTTACCATTAAACGGTTAGATGAACGCTTGACGGGAAGGTAAGAAAAACTGAACTTGAAAAGACCTAGACTTTAAATCAATTCCGGGAACAACCCAATGTTTCGGATCGTGTCGATAGAAGTATTAAAAATAATTTCTTCAAATCAATGTCGGGCGGATTTCCAATGGTCGGTCGGTAAACGGCAAACAAACAATATCTTAATTTAAGCCTAATTTTTGGGGATATGCACATCTACATATGATGTCCTTATTATCTACAAATTTAAGTTTCAGGAAATTCTGTTGTGTGGTTTCAGAGAAGTTGCAATGACAAACTGTTGCATTAGTATAATTAGGCCAAAATTCTAACTTCAAAAGGGCATAACTCCAAGAAAAAAAAATAGAATCATAAATTCCTGTTAATATGCACATCTACATCATGTCATATTATGTCCTTATTATCTACAAAGTTTCAGGAAATTCTGTTGTGTGGTTTCAGAGGAGTTGCGATGACAAAATGTTGAAGTTGTATATTTAGGCTAAAATTCTAAATAAGCTGCAAGAGCAGACCTAGCCATTAGTGTCCCATAGATTCTTTTTTAAATACTTAGTAAGAATATTAAGTAGTGAAAGTAACCCTTTAATTATTACATGACGCTTTCTTTTTATCTTATTGGCTCATCACAAAAGGCACATTTTCATGGATTTAATATTTAGAAAATATATCTAACACAAATAAAATAAACATATTAAAATAAACAGCTGCGCCATGAGCGCATGATACGCCCGTCGTCTTGTGTGTGAATTTTTATGCAATAAGCATAAATAGTTTCTGACATACGGCGTGACATGCGAAAACCCCCCTTTTTTTTAACAAAAAACTCAATATCTCTAAAATAAAATTTTGAATCAAAACCAAAAAGTATACAGATCTTTAGATTAATATAACTAAGAAGTGTGTAAAATTTTAAGCAATAATCATAAATCGTTTTTGAGATACTGCGCGACATGTGAAAAACCCCTCCCCCTTTTTTTACAAAATACTCAATAACTCAAAAATGAAATTTTGAATCATCACCAAAAATTATACAGATCTTAAGGTTAATATAACTAAGAAGTGTGTAAAGTTTTAAGCAATAGTCATAAACTGTTTTTGAGATACGGCGCGACATGTGAAACCCCCCCCCCCCCCCCCTTTGTTAACAAAATACTCAATATCTCTAAAATAAAATTTTGAATCATCACCAAAAAGTAAACAGATCTTAAGATTAATATAACTAAGAAGTGTGTAAAGTTTTAAGCAATAATCATAAATTGTTTTTGAGATACGGCGCGACATGTGAAAAAAAACACACACCTGTTTTAGTTACTAAGTCCCGTAACTCAAAAAGTTTTAATCTTATTATCACCAAAAAGTATACAGATCGTTTGACCATCATAAGAAACAACTATGTTAAGTTTCATGAAATTTGGATAAGTCATTCTCAAGTTACGGTGCGACATGTTTACGCCGGACAGACAGACGGACAGACGCCGGACATTTGTATACCATAATACGTCCCGTCAAAAATTTGACGGGCGTATAATAAAAAATAGGAAACAAACTGTAAACAAGAGAAAGATTAAAAAAAAGAACTAAAAGTTAGCTTTGAAAATAGTAAAGTATTCATGTACAACAAAATACAAAATGTATGAATTTGACAAATATATTCTAAAAAATAATTTTGAAAAACAGCAAAATATTATGTAAAATGCGACTAAGTGACCATTTCCTGGAAATAAAGAGAAGGTGGCTATAAAAGAATTCACAGAGAAAAAAGAATTTGTATACATTGTAATATTAATGAGGCTGAAAATGAAACCCATTTTTTCTTAACATGTGAAATTAATAAATCTTAACGTTAACCAATTTATTAGTCCAAAACTCAAAATATTAAAATTTTGTTGAAAACTCCTTTTCACCAATCATCATACACATGATTCACAATTGTTTCCCCTAATTGAGTGGACTCCTCTAGAAACAATAAATAAATTTATGGTTGTATAATTGATTGATAGTTGTTATCTTTACGTCCAGTGTCAATTATTTCATTCTGGTTCAGGACAAAATTTTAACAATAAATGCAAAATCTAAGTCCTGCTATAACATGTATAAGGAGTCCACCATGATTTAGGGAGTGGAAGTGAGAATCTCACTAGAAAATAAGGGTATATTAGATAGGGACAGAAATTTGGCTGGTGGATACCTAGGAATCGCTAAAAGAGTTGTTGCAAGGGCTATTAACCGAGTGACACTCTCTTCACAAGTGGCAGTGGATTTAACTCTCATTCTGACCAGACATTTCTGTGCATTTATACATCCTGCAGTCTAGTTAATATCATTATCATAAATGTTTTTGGTGTTTTTTTGTTTGTTTTTGTTTTAGTGTCAATCAGGTTGTTAGTTTTCTCTTCTGAATTGTTTCACACTTTGTAATCCTGGGACTTTTAATAGTTTTACTCATAGTTGAAGGTCGAGTGGTGACTTTTAGTTGTTTATATCCTAAATCTTGTATTTCTGCATTTGGTGGATAGTTGTCTCATTGGCAATAATACCACATCTCCTTCATACTATATTATTTGAGAAACTTTAATTCAATTTTTCATAGTGAACTTTTCATTTTCTTTCTTATATTTAAGACTTTTAACTACTTGTTATGATGGTTGCCGAGTTGTCTAAGAAGTTTAATTACTGTATCACTAGCCTGGCAACACTGAGGTTATGAGTTTGAATCTTGCACATATCATGTGCACTCAACTTCAATCTTAACTGACTAGGAATGTCAGTTTTGCTACCGAAGGTCGTGGTTATCACTGGCTTCCTGCATTAATTAAAACTGATCGCCATAAAATAGCACAATGCTGGAAGTGGCGTTAACATCATTCAATCAAGTCTTGAGGCACATGATGGGTACAATTAGTGGAGTAAGAACTGCTTACCGTTGTACTGTAATTCAGAAACTATTGTGACATTTCTATTAATGAATGTGAATAATGTGTCTGGGGGAGTCTCGCAATAATTAGAACACGCATACTGATATCTGAAACATATATATGTATATGCAACTTTTCCCAATATCAAAATAATTTATCTTGCAATTTTGTCCAATCTTTAAAAATCGCAATAATAAATGCACGCAATAAATTCTGAATTAACAGTATTTAAACAGATTTTATATAGGGTTCATGTTTCTCAATCTTTAACTTTATCCCTTCATAGTAACATCTTACAACTTTCTCACATAATTTCTTATCAGAGACTATTATATAATTTCGTCAGTAATATTTAATTAATCACTAGATTACCTTGTAAATGGTCAAGAATCTTTTTAACTTGTTTTAGCAGGACAGGACTCAATCTAATTTCTATAACAGCAGGATTCTCCTTTCCACCAATTCTCATAAAAATCTGTTTACAAATAAAACAAAAAACATAAAACTGATTTAAGAAATCTTATTTCATTGCAGACAGATAAACAGGTCTTACACCATTCCATAAACCACCTTGGAAACATGAAATTTATAATGTGTTGTTTTTATTTTTTTTCTCCTGTCTAAAAAGTATGCCATTACAAAATGTCCTCCGCTGCTCTTCAACTAAATAATCGATAATAAACTTAACATAACCATATAGATTTGAATCAAACATCAACCAATAAATCAATCTAGATTTCAAAATCATTAATGAATAGCCTTTATACCACAATAGTAAAACAAAACACCAACAAAGATACCTGCAAAATTTAAATAGTTATTACATTGTCTACTTCACAAAATTAATGAATATGAAAAGTCCCCTGTGTAACACTATGATACAATAGGCAGAGAATGGTAAAAGTTACAAAACTACTACAAAAATTGTGAAATCAAAATCGGGGGCCTTGTATGGTTAACTACACAAAAAGTCTCAGAGTGTTACTATGCTACAACAAGTTTCATAAAATTAATGACTTTTTAAAAACATAGGGCTTAATACTTAGGTTAAGGGGCTTAGCAAAATCTTGAGGTAAAAGTCCTAGGCTTGGACCTGGCTAGAATAAAAAACAACCCTGGTCTTCTCAGACATCTTAACTATCATTCCAATAACATTTTAAAATATTTGGTAGCAGAGAAATGAAATTGACCTGGAATTTTCAGTCTACAAAAAATGTTAAAAGGTCGAAGAAAATTAAAGAAAAAATTATAGCAAAACCTCACAACTGCCCTTTGAAGTCAGTCCACCAGAGACATCTTTCTTTTAACAAAAATAATATTATAGATAAATCATATATTAGGACTAATGTAATTAACTTTTTTAACGGATTGACAAGGTTGTGTTACCATTTATTACATCCAAACAAACACTTAACATACATAAAACAATAACTTACTGCTTGTATTATTTCAACAAATTGTTGGTATTGATGTGAATCCATGGATGTCATTTTAATGATCTTTTTATACCAAGACTGTAGTCTATATAAGTCTGCTGATAAACTGGTATCATGGCTGTCTGGTTCTGTATTTGGAATCTGTACAGCTTTAACCATAGAAACTAATGTAACCAGCGTCTGGAATCCTGGTCTGTTTGTTAGTGATGGTACTGTGGCTCTTGTAAAAAAAAATTATATAAAAATAAAATAACAGAGTTCCAATGTCCACCCCTTTGCACATATCTAATCTGTCTATGGGCAATAACTGAAAAGAACTTTTTTTTATTTTTTCAAATTTTTTATAAATATCCAAGAGAATTTATGAAGGCATGAGAGCAAATGGAATGCAATTTCTGATATAATTAATATTTGTAAAAATCAGCTCTGAATTCTAATTTGTCAAAGACATTGCTTATATACATGATATAAGACTATGATATAAATTTGATAAAAATCCAGCAAAAATTGTACGCATGAGGGGAATTACAATGCAATTTTTCATGTAATAAATATATCCAAGGGGCATAACTCTTTCAAAATTATGTTGTGAAATGTATCTAGTCATAATTTTCACAATAATACTATATCGCAAAAAATTCTGAATTCACAGTAAACTACTTCTCTGAATCTCACAAAAAATGATATGTTGTTTTCAAATGAATCAGTAGAGCAATATCTGTATTTAGTTAATTATTGACTACATGAACACTGCATATGGAATTTGATTTTATATAAGTCATTTAACTTTTTTCAAATGTAAGAAATGCTATTTTTCTGCAAAATATGAGGCAGCAATGGGGAAATAAATTTGTTGCAAATGTTAGTAAGAGTTTTCCTAAAAACAAGCATGGTGATGCATTGTCAAAGTTAACTAGACATCATTGAGATGGGAGCCATCTCTGTGGGCCCCGCTGTGAATAATGTGTGGTAAAAAATTTGTATCTTTATCATTGGACATGGGGTTGTCAACTGAAACCAAAGTTTTTGACCTTGACCTTTGACCTAGGAAGTTGTACATAAATTATGACACACCCTCTGGTGTTGGTTTATATACATGTCAAGTATAAACTTTGAAATCATAACAGTTCTCAAGATATAGAGCGGACACGATCTTTACCATAGGACATGGGGTTGTCAACTAAAACCAAAGTTTTAGACCTTGACCTTTGACCTAGGAAGTTGTTCATACATTATGACACACCCTCTGGTGTTGGTTAATATACATGTCAAGTATAAACTTTGAAATCATAACGGTTCTCTAGGTATAGAGCGGACATAATTTGTTACGGACGGACAGACGGACGGACAGACTGATCACTATAGGGCGTCCGCCATTCAGCGGGGCCCTAATTATAGTCCAACTTTGTTGTACCTGGCTGAGTTATCCAACAGTGAAAGTAAAAAAATATAACATTACGATCAATACTGCCATTTTTTTTAAGATTAACTTTTAAAATACCTTAAATGCAAGATTCAAATCAACGTACTACTAATTTCGAATAACAAATAAACATATCACAAATTTACAAAATTACAAATTATGAAGTACATATCACAAATATACCATACAGAAAGTATTGGTAAATCAAAATTACACTTTTGAGCCGTACCCATCTTGACATGAATGTACACTGGTAATATTTCTTAACTCTTCTGGTAAAACTTCAATTGTTCACCAAGTAAAGCAGAAAGTTTACCTTCTAGTGCCCCTGATCATCATAAACCTGATCCATGTTATATAAGAAGTGCTCCCTATTCTCTGTGAAGTTTTAGATGATTTCATTTTTATTATGCTTGCAGTTGGGCATTCAATGAAAACATGGTAAATTCATAAATAGTTCATAAAATAACTGAACCTGTTTGAACAAGGTTTAATTCATCTTGGCTAACATCAGTTGATTCTAAGTCATGTGCTAGTTCTCCATTGCAAGGGTCCACCTTGAGTGCCTCAAGAAGAAACAGATAATCTTGTTCACTTCTGATCTTAGCTATTAGTCTTCTATTGATTTCAGCTGACACTCCACTGGAAACAATTTCTGCATGGTCATCAGGTGCTAAAACTCCCTTTGATATCAATAAATCAATGACATTTCTTACGTCAGATAAATTCTCAGTCAGATTGTAGTAATTTTTTTGTAACCTGACTGAATGGTACCCTGTAACTAAAATAAAGAAAAGGAATTAACTGTCAAATCAAATTAAGCTATGACTTTTTATTTAGTTTACATGTACTATTTAACACTCATATCGTTGAAAGATAGATGTTTAGGAATTTTTTCTTTAAAAATAAATGTATGTACATTGAAAATTATTTAAAAACGTATAGGTTAGCATAGGTTTTTTTAAGAAATATGAGGTAAAAAAACTTACATAGAACATATTGGTATACATTATTATAATTCTTTGATTTATATATGGCTTAGTAACAACCTGTTATTATTTGTGGCTAAGCATGTTTTCATAGTAGGTTACTTTGAGTTTGCTTTCAGTGACTGTAAACATTCTTTGATATGAAATTAAACTCCGTCTGGTGAACCAACACCTGTGTGAATCATTTCGATTGAGTCAATGTCAAATTCAATGTACCACTTTGAGTACTTCAGTAATTAATTTCTGTATGTAAATTGTCCTGATGATGCCTGCCTTGAAGGCAAAACATGTAGACCATAGTAAATAAAATTGCAGACCATTTTGAAGTGTTGTTGTCAATTTTGGTATATATATCCAAACTAAGCTTTCATACAATTTTTCTTTTAAAAAATCTTCTAAATTCATAAGAATAAGACATCAGTTTGAATTAAACCATGTTATATAATATTCAGTAAAATATATGTGAAATAACAATACATTGTTAATAAGTTTCAATGGGAGATAATCTAAAATTATTGATCTTTTGAAATATTGATCTTATCTCCCTTTAAAACTTCAAGAGAACATATTTATCCTGAAAGTACATTTCACAAAGTATTTTAGAGATTCATTTAAAGAAAGCTTTGTAGCATGCATAGATTAGAAAAACACCATTTTAGAAGAAATAATACAAAAACTTAAATTTGGACATTTTTTAGCAGTTCAAAAATTACTACCTTTCACCTTTGAAAGACAATTACAATAAAAGAATGTACAGAAATTTTTATATTCATTTTCATAATAAACAATGAAGAGGAATTAAAGTCTAATAGGATTATAAGTATGCTTTTTTTTATCCCCTTGCACTTTCACAACTTGACTGTGGTTTACTACAGCAGTTTGTAAAAATTTCTGACCTGTTGAACACTTTGGTTTGACAAAACAAATTGCAATTTGGTCAGAATTTTGAATAAACTGCAATAGGTATAGAGCAACACTTACACGACGGTTGCCACGAGGAATAGGATCTGCTTACCCTTCCGGAGCACCTGAGATCACCCCCATATTAGGTGGGGTTCGTGTTGCTCAGTCTTCAGTTTTCTATGTTGTGTTTTGTGTACTATTGTTTGTTTGTTTGCTGATATTTTTCTTTTTAGCCATGGCGCTGTTAGTTTATTTTCGACTTATGAGTTTGAATGTCCCTTTGGTATCTTTTGCATTTACAGTCATTAAGTCACAGTAAAATGTGTTGCTAGTACTGGTGTTTTCATTATCTTTTATACTGTAACTTTAGAGTAAAGTACTTTTCCTGTACTATTTTTTATTTGAGTGTTTCTTCAATGTACATTATAAGTGTGAATGCAATAATCTGGATACAAAAGTGGGAGGTGAATTTGTTTTTAAAGTTTTGTCTCATTGGTATTTATAAAACAGTGTCTTTCATACAAAAAATCAAAATGTAAACTAAGTACTCATGCATTACTTGTTTTGACTTTGGACTGTGAAACAACTTCATGATGAGAAAGTTGTTGACCTTCCAAACATGCTATCAGGTCTGTAGAACAAGTAGAAGACTCCTTAAGAACTTCTAATAATATACTGTAGGAATCTTGTGGTCTTTGAATTAGAAGGTCTAAGATACATTTGTTGCGGTCAGATTGTCTGGGATAGTGTTCTATCTCCGCTCTGTCTTCTATCCTGAGGATACATTTGGAAATCAGTTTATCAAGGACATCTTTATCTAGAATGGTGTCTTGTACAATCTTATCATAGAAATGGTACAATCTGTAGTGAACTGGAAAAGAAACAAAACATATGGTAACCATGGTGATTTAGATAGTTATGTATGATCATTTTGTACACATTGATGTCCTGCATTATATCATCATAAAAATGAATCTCTCTTTGGCAGACAAAAAATATACAAGTTGCTTTCTTTGAAAATAGAAAAGCAATAGTGAACCTTATTGGCATTTTGGTTTACAAGTTCAGAAAACAAATAACATATGGATTCAGGTTTTAAATTCATTCATAATATGAGAAGAAAACTTATCCTTCTGGGGCAATTGAAATCACCCCTGGTTTTTGGTTGGGTTCGTGTTGCTCTGTATTAGGTTTCTATGTAACGTGTGTTGTGTACTGTTGTACTGTTATTTGTCTTTCGGTCGTTTTTTTTTTGTTTTTCGCCATGGCATGGTCAGTTTGATTTCACCTTGAGTTTGAATATTCCTTTGGTATCTCAGCCCGGTGTTGCCTCTCTTTTTGTCTTATTTAGGTTTCAAATTTGGATAAATTCCTTTCAAAGTGGCGTTTGCGAGGTAGGTGTTGTTGAATTTTCTATTATAGTGTAGTAATCAAACATTTGTTGATCCAAGCAATTCAACTCACTCCTTAGTTACGACAGGTTAACAGTGAATTTGACGGTAAATTATAGCTAATGAAACTGGAGGCTCTAAAGAGCCTGTGTCACTCACCTAGGTCAATGTAAATATTCAACAAAGGACACTTTCATTGTAGAGGAGAATAGAATTCATAACAAAAAACTTCTTTTAAGTTGATCTTGTATTGCTGATCGTTTTGTCTGTTTAGTATCTCCCTATCTTCTTTAGTTTTTGTTCAAAACACAAAAGATGGCCAAAAAATCCTCATTTAAAGATAAATCCCTCTATTGTTTATGTGCACATACAAGTGCAACTGTACTATGCCGTCAACGGTTTATGACGTCATAGTTTCTGCTAACTTTAAACGTTTATGAGAGTTATTCCTCCTAATGTGTTGATCTGATGAAGGAGAACGACAATTGTTTTGAATTTCCGATTTGCCTAGAAGAAAATGAATTGTTGATGTGTTCCTTAATTTGGAAAATGAGTTATTTGTTTTCGTTTTCGAGGAACAACATAACAAGAATAACTAGAGGCTCTAAAGAGCCTGTGTCGCTCACCTTGGTCTATGTGCATATCAAACAAAGGACACAGATGGATTCATGACAAAATTGTGTTTCGGTGATGGTGGTGTTTGTAGATCTTACTTTACTGAACATTCTTGCTCCTTACTATTATCTTTATCTATAATGAACTTAGCCCAGTAGTTACAGTGGAAATAATGTGTAAAAATTTACAAAAATTTATGAAAATTGTAAAAAATTGACTATAAAGGGCAATAACTCCTTAAGGGGGCAATTGACAATTTTGATCATGTTGACTTATTTGTAGATCTTACTTTGCTGTACATTATTGCCATTTACAGTTTATCTCTATCTATAATAATATTCAAGATAATAACCAAAAGCTGCAAAATTTTCTTAAAATGACCAATTCAGGGGCAGCAACCCAACAACGTGTTGCCTGATTGGTCTGAAAATTTCAGGGCAGATAGATCTTGACCTAATGAACAATTTTATCCTTTCAGATTTGCTCTAAATGCTTTGGTTTCAGAGAAATGAGCCAAAAACTGCATTTTACCCTATGTACTATTTTTTAGCCATGTCGGCCATCTTGGTTCACGGGCGGGGTCATCGAACACAATTTTTAAACTAGATACCCTAATAATGATTGTGGACAAGTTTGGTTAAATTTGTCTTCATAGTTTCAGAGGAGAAGATTTTTGTAAAAGATTACAAAAATTTACGAAAAATGGTTAAAAATTGACTATAAAGGGCAAATACTCCTTAAGGGGTCAACTGACCATTTTGGTCAAGTTGACTTATTTGTAGATCTTACTTTGCTGAACATTATTGCTGTTTACATGTTATCTCTATCTATAATAATATTCAAAATAATAACCAAAAACGGCAAAATTTCCTTAAAATTACCAATTCAGGGACAGCAACCAAACAACGGGCTGTCTGATTCATCTGAAAATCTCAGGGCAGATAGATCTTGACTTGATAAACAAATTTAACTGTGTCAGATTTGCTCTAAATGCTTTGGTTTCAGAGATATAAGCCAAAATCTACATTTTACCCCTATGTTTTATTTTTAGCTATGGCGGCCATCTTGGTTGGTTGGCCGGGTCACCAGACACATTTTTTAAACTAGATACCCCAATGATGATTGTGGCCAAGTAGTTTCAGAGGAGAAGATTTTTGTAAAAGTTAACAGACGACGCTGGACAACAACGACGGACGACGGACGCAAAGTGATGAGAAAAGCTCACTTGGCCCTTCGGGCCAGGTGAGCTAAAAATGTGCATATAAAAAAGAAGAATACAAGGAAAAAATAGACAAACCATCAAAATAATACCCTATTGTAGAGGAAGTGATTATTTTCTATATGAAGATTTAAGCAGAAGTGTTGATGCAATGAATCTTCCTATTTATGTATATCAAAGAAAATGAGGAGTATACGCCATCTACACAGCAATAAAAAACAAGAGGCTCATGAGAGCCTGATATCTCTCACCTGTAATTTCAGTTTCTGACATTTGACTTATTTGTAGATCTTACTTTGCTGAACAATTTTGTCATTTACACTTTCTCTCTTTCTATAATATTAAAGATAATACATAACCAGTGGCGGATCCAGAAATTTTTATAAGTGGGAGGCCCACTGACTGCCTAAGAGAGGGCCCGCTCCAGTCATGCTTCAGTGAATCCCTATATAATCAACCAATTTTTTCCCACAAAAGGGGGGCGTGGGCCCCCTGGCCCCTCCCCCCCTAAATCCTCCTCTGATAACCCAAAACTGTAAAATTTCCTAAAAATTAACTATTTCTGGACAGTTACCCAACAATAAGTTGTCCTATTGATCTGAAGATTACTTGACAGGTTACATATAATCTAAACCTGTTTTAATAACACTTTCACCTATGACAGTTTTGCTCTTACTGCTTTAGTTTTTGAGATGAAAGCCAAAAACTTCGTTTGACCCCTATGTTCTTTTTTTAGAAACTGCCGCCATGTTTTTGAATGGATCAAATCCTCGATTACAATCTTTAAACTAGAAACCCTAAGGAACATTTTGAAAAAGTAATTAGACTCACAAAAAATGTAAAAAACAAAAGCGTTTTAAGGGCAATAACTCGGGTCAATTGACTATTTTGATCATGTTTGACTTATTTGTAGATCTTACTTAGATGAACATTTATTGCCATTTATACTTTCTCTCTATCTGTTATAATATTAAAGATAATAACCAAAAACAGTAAAATTTCATAAAAATAAACTATTTCGGACCTTAACCCTACAATGGGTGGTCCAATTGGTCTGAAAATTTCATAGCAGATAGAATTTGACTTTTTCATCACTAAACGTAACTCATGACACTTTTGCTTTAACTGCTATAGTTTTTGAGATAAAAGTCAATAAACTGCTTTGACGAGCGCAGCTGGATACGACCGCAGATGTCCAACCCTGAACAGTTGGGGCAAAAATGGACACAATATTCAAGCTTGATAGTTGATACAGGTCTGAATTTGGATTGTAATTAAATATTTGACACATTATAGGTTTCTGACATAGAATAAATGTCAAAGAACTTGAAATTGGTTGTATGATTTGAATTTATATTCAATTGAAGATTTCTTGCTGTTGTGCAATACACTGTGCCGTTGCGCAATACTTAGTAAATCTGTTTTCAGACTATATACAAAGAATTAGCAAAATAAATTGTGACCCCCAATTTTTTTTCTTTGGAAAATTGATAATTTCTTAAATCCCTCCCCCGCCCCTCCAAAAAAATAACATTAGAAGAGAATTTTCTTTTGAGGAAAAAAAATTGCCCCCCGAGCCCCCAAAAATAGAAATTTATATTCTTAAACTAAGTTACTGTCCGGAAACCAAATGTCTTCGGACGACGCTGACGACGACGATGTGATACCAATATACGACCGCAAAAAATACAAAAAACTGCATTTGACCCCTATTTTCTGTTTTTAGCCATGGCGGCCATGTTTGTTAATAGATCAAAACTTTGGATACAATTTATAAACCAGTTACCCTAAGGAACATTCAGTTAAATTTTAGAAGTATTAGGCCCAGTAGTTTCAGAGGAGAAGATTTTTAAATGTAAGCAAACATGATGAACAAATTGTGTAAAATTGTCTTTAAAGGGCAATAACTCCTTAAGGGGTCAATTGGCAATTTTGGTCATATTAACTTTTTTGCAGCTCTTACTTTGCTGCACATTCTTGCTGTTTACAGTTTATCTTTATCTTCAATAATATTCAAGATAATAACCAAAAACTGCAAAATTTCCTTAAAATTACCTATTTAGTGGCAGCAACCCAACAATGGGTTGTTTGGTTTGTCTAGAAATTTCATGGCTGATAGATTGACCTTGAGCATTTTTACCCTGTCAGATTTGCTCTCAATGCTTTAGTTTTTGAGATATAAGCCAAAAACTGCATGTGACCCCTATGTTCTATTTTTAGCTATGGCGGCCATGTTTGTTGATGGATCAAAACTTAGGATATAATTTATAAACTAGATACCCTAAGGAACATTCAGTTAAAGTTTGAAGGTATTTGGCCCAGTAGTTTCAGAGGAGAAGATTCTTGAAATAGTTTACAACAGACAACGACAGACGCCAAGTGATGGCATAAGCTCACATGGGGCCCTTTGGGCCCGGTGAGCTAAAATGGTAAAGAAACAAAACCGAATCTGGAAATTCATCAACAAGAAGTGTCAATCTAATTGTCATATAATATAATTTCCTTTACTTCAAAATTGTATAAACTAATATATTCTTAAGAGTCAATCTTAATAGTATGTGTTTAATAAATTCATTATAAGAAAGCAAATTATCAAAACCGTGATCTAAATTTAACAGTATCTATAGCAGTTTGTATATGTATACG